CTCTCTCTCTCTCTCTCTCTCTCTCTCTCTCTCTCTCTCTCTCTCTCCTGCTTTTCTCACATCATACTCCAAGTCTTTCTTTCTTCTGGTCCTCTATTTGAGCCCCTTCTCCTCTAACTTTCTGCCAGTCCATATGAAGGAAGGTCGACATCCTGGGACTTTGGTCCTCAAAGACTCCTCCTCTCAGTGTGAGCCTAAGTGCCAGCTTTTTGACTAATAAATGAACAAGAAAGGACTGCACCCCCAGAAGCCCCTGAGCAGTCCCATTCTCTCTCTCTCTCTCTCTCTCTCTCTCTCTCTCTCTCTCTCTCTATCTCTCTATCTCTTTCCTTCCTTCCCTCCCTCCCTTCCTCTCGCTCCTTCCACCTTTCATCCTCCCTCACCCCCTCCTTCCCACCACGCTGATTCTTCTCTTCCTCCTGGGACCATGGTCTCTGCACTCCCAGCCCAGAGTGCCTCCCAGCCGCAGACTTGCCTTTCCCCTTTTATGCCCTCATGTGAATGTTCGTCGGGAGATATTTCTGCTTTTATTTTATAATAAAATTAGAAATCATAAATATATGGATATGTGCCCCAAGGCCTGGCGGCCTGGCTTGTAACAGAGTCTGATTTCCCTATAGAGACTGAGTTCCCCAGTGAGCCGTTCTTCACAGTGATACTTGGGCAGAGTCCTGGAAACCCAGACTGGCCTTCCTTCTCAGTGTGTCTCTCGCAAGGTAAAGGGATGAGACTGAAAACTCGGAAGCCTTCTCCTATTAATACCTTAGTCCCTTTTCTCTGCTGAAACAAGGACCAGACGTCCGGCTTCCACCACAGCCACCACAGTGGAGCCCCCACCTGCCGCTCCCCCCAACACACACACACACACACACACACACACACACACACACACACCACCCACCGCTGGGGTTGTAGAGGGAGTTGAGAGCCTGCGTGCAGAGGTAGAAACGAGCTTGGAATTGTGGGGTATGGGAGGGAAAGTTTTGATTCGGAATTACATCTCAGCATGGTCGAAGTTACTAGAATTGGAGATGACAGTCCGTGAAGATTCGCCCAACTCGGAGTATGGAGTATCGGCTGAGGCCTGTGTTTCCAGAGCACACCCTTGTCTAACCGAGGAGAAAACGTCTTTGAGTTTGGCAACCTGCCCTTGGTACGGAGGAAGAGGAGAGTGGACCGCCAGCCGAGGGCCAGTGTTGTGGATGCTAGCAAGCGGGTGCAGAGGCTCCTAGGGGCAGGGCTAGGGGCTCCGGAGTGTGGTGCGCTAGCTGCAAAGAAACCTACAGTATTGCTTTTGCTCTGTAGTTCTAGGCCCCTTTTATCCTACAAGTCCAGACCAGTCGAGACAGATCCAAATCAGGCGAGACTCAGGAGGAAGTTAGGGCTTTTCAGTATTGACTCGCAATAGCAGTGTGACTGCTCGATTAGGAACAGGACTATCAGGGTAGCGCCTGCCCACCCAGGGCTGGATGGGATGCAAGGGAAGAGGCTGGACCTTCCCCTGGACCCTATGACCTCTTGGGACTTTTCCTTTCTAATAAAGCCAACACTTCCTGTTTCGACCATAAACTCATCAGACCTCTTCTCTCGAATTTTTTTTTTTTTTTAATCAAGAGTTTCTTCTCCCATGACTCAGGCAGTTGAATGGGCTAATGGGTACCGGAGGTTTCACCCATTGTGCGGCCTGGAGTTCAAGGGGAATTCACAAACCTGAAAGACTCCTAGAGAATCGATTCCTCTACCTGGGCCCACACCCAGGGCACCTCTACTTCCGCTCCAAAGAGAAGGCCCAGCCCCGGGAGCGTCCTTGGCCTCTTGGGGAGCCCCTTCTTTCCGGAAAGGTCTCAAGTACTCTCTGGAACTGGTTTGCTCTCCCGCAGACTGAGCAGCTCAACTTCCTCTGACTTGAGGCAAGCAGAGCTAGCAGCTACTGCCTGAAGGTCTGTCTGGCGAGTTCCAAATGGAGCTGCCTGTGTCAGCCCACTTGGCCAGACTGCCTGGTGACGTCATAGCCCACACTTCTGCACAATCACTTGGCTGGATGAAGCAAATCCAGTAGCCTCTGTGTTCCAAATCATCCCTCGTACCACATTCACAGGAAAACAGGCTGTGAATTATCACGTGAAAAAGAAGACACACATTTAACTTTGGCTCCGGTCACAGTTATTTGGAGCCTGCTTTATTCCTTTCATTTTGAAGAGCGCCAAAACCAATTATGATAGTAGCTGCTTCCCAGGGAAATGGACTGCAGCATCCATGTTAATATCTATGTGGTAGTAGCCTCCTAGGGAAATAGATTGCAGCAACATCCTTGTTAATTCTTACACTCAAACACAGAACCAAGCACTGGAGCTCTCAGTACACTATCACACAAGCACACTCCCTTCTTGATCTATGTGTATGTACTACACACGTGAGCCGGTCCAGCATGCACACAACACACATGTATGTCAAGCTTCCCTCACATCCGGATTCTCTCCAAGGAACATTAAACTCCACAGCTGCCACCACCCCTGCCCACTTCCAGTCCCTGTTGACATCGGAGCAAAGTCTTGCAGAGGACCTTTCTGGGAAGGCGTCTGTACCTAGCTACTTGGTCACAGAGACAGAAATGATCCCAGCCAAGAGATGGCAGCTGATCAGGGATCCATCAGAGGCACCCTCTCTAGTGTCTTCCAGGGTGCAGTTCCTGCTCTAGGAAGCTCCTGAGTGCCAATAGGGGGCAGGGGGCCAGTTCCAGGGCTATATTCCATAAAGTGATTACAGAGCAGTTCAGCTAGATGGAACCTTCCTTGTTCCATTCTTTCTTCACCAGCTAGCCTGGAAAATATGGGTTTAAAGACAAACATGGGGAGAGGGGGCAGAAGTTCACCACATCTATCAGTATAAGCCACTCCCACTGCGACTCCTATCATAACACGAAAACTGGACATAATAAACAGATGCTAACTGTATTTAAAAAAAAACAGCCTTATCATAATCTGTGGAACAAGATTCTTAGGGACCCTCTTCCATCAACCCTCCCTCAGCAGTCAGAGTTTTGCCCTGGCACCTGGGAATACCAAGTCTCCCTTTCTGGTCCCCTGACAGTCTGCTAAAGGATGTCCTTCAATTTGTTCCTAAGCAGGTACCCACTACCACCCGGTAGTGAGACCACAAATGAAGACAGCAGAATCCAGTCGCTAAAGGACAGCTGATGAGACCTGAGAAAAGAAACTCTCCTTTGGGTTTAGGAGCTCAGAACCCAGGGGATCCAGAGGGACCAGTTCTCTCCACCTGCTTCTAGAGTACCTGAGGGGCATCTTAAGGAAGTGACATTCGTCCAAGTCTGCAGAGCAATTGATGATTGATAATTGATGATTTCCACAGCCAGGAAAGTATCCCAGAGCCAGGAAGACGGGAGGAGAAAAGCGGACCCTGATCACCTGGGACAGAGAAAGGAATCTGGAATCTCCTCCTCACTAGCCAACCCCACGGATCCCACCGGCAGCTCTTTGGCTCTCAGAACATGCAAAACCTCTGGAAGAAAGACACCAAAGCTTTTGCGTGTGAAAACCTGTGAGGAAAGACCAAATGGGAACTGACCCCATTCTGCCCCTCTGACTTCAGCCTTCTGAACTAGGTGACTAAGAACTCATGAGTGTTCTTAAGGCTGTGAGACCGGCAGCTGTGTGCCAGAGGACGGTGTGATCAGACCTGCCTGCCGCCATAGGCTCAGAGAGTGACTGCAGGCAGCGGAGAGAGCTGGCGAGTGCACTTGGGGGGAGAGAGCTGGCGAGTGCACTTGGGGGGAGTGACGTGAGTCTGAGCTGGTGAGCCACCACCAAGGAGCAGTGTGCCTGGGCTGGCCCACATCTGCGGCCACTCCTTTTCTCACCGCCTCACCCCAACCCGTAGCAAGTTAGCCCTCAAGTTAGCCCTCACTGTCTGCTCCTCCTGGCCACTTCCCAGTAATACAGAGGAAAGGAAAAATTCCTGTTCCTGAGTTTAGGGCTGTTGACCCAAGCCGCTGTCGGCTGCTCCAGAGGAGTCTCTCATGAAGATTCCGACGGTGTCTGTAAGATGGGAGTTGGAAAATAATTTCTCCACGGTGGAGGGTGAAATCCGAGTGTAAAGGAGCAGATTAAACTCACAGTTTGGAGTCACAGCAAAAGTGTGTCCCACCCCGCTTAGATGATTGGTTGATGAGAAAAGGCCTCCTGACACAAGGAAGGACATTTCGAGAGAAGACCCTCTCTCAATACTCCTAACCTTCGCCCCTTCGGAGCTAAGATGAGATCTAGCACAGGCCCGCTGTACCTGGAGCAGCTGAGTTCGAAGGACTGCCTCGCAGTAGCCCTAGCCAGCCTTGGTCACTTCTGTCCCTAGTCGACTTTCTAGGGACCACTTACCTACCAAAATAAAGCGAATCTTTAGCATCAGGGCAGACTGACGCCAGCGATTGCGAAGAAGCTTCAGGCACTCCACCTTCTGAGCTTTTTTGTGGACTCGATGGGGAGGACAGAGGCGGACGTTTTGGACCGGCAGTAGAAAGGTTCCACAAGTCGGCCATCCTGGGAAGCCAGTAGGGAGGGAGGACTTTACCTCCGCTTTCCCAAGGTACTAGGTTCCGTTAGGCCAGTGCCTAGGATTCGAATGCTTTCTCCGGGATCCTAATCGTCCCCTCCAGTACCGCCAAGCACTGGGGCTTGACCACCGCCAGAGGGTCTGTAACGAGAGCGGTGATTCGTTCGGTAGAAAGTAGCCGCGCGGGTCTTGGCGGTGCCGAGGTCTTTTACTTTACCGGGACTTTAAGCTGGGGCCGATGTGTCTATCCAGGCAGG